AAAAAAAAAGAAGCCTGGAGGGCAGTATATCCCCACGTGCTGTGTTATCCCTGGAACTGTGAACTACATGGTAACACTCTCTCTCAAAAGACAAATAAACAAATAAAATTACATTCTACTAACTTCTAGCCCAAATTATTTTATTCTATACATGCCTATGAAAAACATCAAGAAACCAACAATAAATTATTTTAGAAGTTAGAATCAGGTTCACCAAAAAACACTTAAAAGATTCTAAGACACAAATTTCTATTGTTTTGCACCAGAATACACTATGAGAATCTCTGGAACATTAAACATCATAAACAAACACCTTCCTTACCTCCTTTAATCCACTATATGAAAATCATGAACAAGCCTTAAAAGTATGAAATTTAAAAAAAAAGGGAAGGTGTGGTAAAACTTAAGAACAAGTGTGAAAATGTTTGAAATAAATTAGACATGTTTAAAAGATAAAGAAATACAAAACAGCACAACTCCTACATCTCCTCATTGACATGACTAATTTCAAAGCTGGCCTCAAGCCAAAGGCCTGCTGTGTGCTAGGTAAGTACCCCACCACTGAGCTACAACCCAGCCCTGTTCTAGCATGCAGGATTTCCCAGAGAATATAAGATCTTGAATATAACCAAAATAACTTCCCTACCAGTGTACTACCCTGTAACTACTAAGAAATTTCAAAGCCAAAACCCAAACAAAAACAAATCAGATAGTCTTTTCAAAGGTAAAATTCAAAAGACTAGTTCTAACTCTGGGAACAAGTTACACACACACACCCAGCAACCCCACTGCCAAATCATTCTGTTCCATTCTCTGGCAGTCAGAACAGATTTTAGAAGAAACATTTGGGTTTGCTCAGTGAAGAAGAGTTTCTCTTTGAGCATTTTCAGAATCATTTGCTCAGGCAGAATTTTAAAGGCCTTTTTTCCTATGTGTTTAAATTAAAAAGAAACAATTTGAGTCTATGAAGCTTATTTTACACAAATGGAAAGTACATTACCTGAGACCATTGTACACTATCAAAATGTACTTGTAACTAAATAGAAATACATACAATGCTGGATTCATCTATAAAACAACTGCACATTATATAACAGACAGAAAAATTATACATAAAAGAGGCATAAACTCTACTTTTCAACTTCTAGTTGTACTTTTTCAGCTTGGCTTCTTAAATTACGGCATTCTTGCTTTAATCTCTCCACCATTTCCTTCAGCATTTGATTTGAATTCAGCAACTCATTCTCAGACCGGGTCAGTGAGGTCACCTGGATCTGCAGACTACTGATTTGCTAAAAAAAAAAAAGGAGATGAAAATAGTGAAATGTACAGCCACGAAGTAGATGCAATAAGTTATGGAAGCGACAGAAACGCTCTCCCCTGCCCAATGCCTCGCCCAGCCACCATGCTCTTAAGGACGTCCTTACATGAAATAATAAATAGTAAAAGCATGGTTGTTTCTTACTCTTAACCAGAGACCATCACTAACCATGAGTGCCTCAGTCACTCTTCTCTTCTTTTCTTTTCCCAAAAAGCACAGCACTGGTGTAAGGAGAGGGGGTTATTGGGCAGGAAGCAAGAAAATGAGAAAAGAGAATCCCACAATTACAGCGAGTCTCCCATCATTCTATCCTTTTGAAAAGAACTGATTCTAAAGCAAGTTAGCTGGAAAAGTCGCTGAAGAGACCTGTTCTCCCTCCCTCTTGAGAGGCCTCTTTCCGAGCAGTCAGGAAGCAGTGAGTGCTAATACAGGAAGGATCACTCTCATCTTGACATAAAGGGCCTCCCGTATGTCCAGTGCTATTGGTCAGAAGAAAGGTGCTCTGAGAAATCTCCTGTATGCTAGAGGTTCCTTGGCCTCTGGACTCATATATCAAACCCCATGAAATCACTCAAGGGCTTTATCCCAATTTTCCTTCATTTGGAAATACTTTTTCTCATCAAAAGTAGGTAATTATGCAGCTGCAGATTAACAGGCTAGAAAAACAGTCTTCACTGAGGATAGTTACATCAAATTCTCCTATGGGCTACTTTTATCAATTAATAAATAACAAAAGTCCTCATTTTTCTTTCACTCTTTTAGACATTCTGAGACATTTCTGAGCAGAAAGAGTCAAGAGCCAGGGATCCAAAGGACCTGTGGTAAGATTTAAGGGCTAAAAGTAACAAGATTCTTTTTTCTTTTTTTTTTTTTTTTTTTGTGGAACTGGGAATTGAACTCAGACCCTTGCGCTTGCCAGGGAAGCGCTTATTCCACTGGGCCATCTCCCTGGCCCCCAAGATTCTTTATAAAATAAATTAAATAAAGGATAAGTAATCTTACTATTTTTCTCATGGCGACAAAGCCAAATAAAACAGGACTACATGTATGTCCATCCACAAAGCAATGGTTAGCAAAGTAAAATAAAATTAGAAGTCTCAAATTTCTACTTTAGAATTAACTTCTTCACGCAAAAATATCATTTATTTTAACTGGAACAGCAAATATTAAATCTGTATTATAATTGCCTGAATAGGCAATGTTCAAAGAGCCTACCACCTGTCTATAGTCATCGGATGCCAAGGATACTAGGTAACTTTTTTCTCAGAAAATCAAACATTATGTTCTCCTGGTTAAGGCTTAGGAACCACAACTGCACATCCTAAAAATGGAATCTTCTACATCATCTCTAGAGGGGAAAATGTATTTTCAACAACAACAAAAAAGAAAATAGAATTCAGAAAAGAACATTTTTCTCTATTTTGTTCAACCTTATATAAATTTTCCCAGAACCCAAATTTACTTTAAATAACATACAAATTTCTTTCTCTAAATATAACTCTTAGATAAAGGGACATAGCAAGAAATACTTCTGGATAAATGTAAAGTTACAAGTCAAATATTCAAGTAACCTTCAAACTTAATATTTGTAAACAATTTTTAAAATTTAGAATACTAAACATTGTTTTTTAAAATTTTATTTTATTTTGAGACAGAATCTCACTATCAGTTCTTGCTTGCCTTGAACTCAAATACTATCTTTAACTATGCTTTTTAAAACTTTGCATGGGCTACAGCATATAAATATATTAATAAAAGCAGCAGTTAGCAAAAGAGGCTTACTAAATTAAAGCAGTAAGGTGGAAACATTTCATCTTTACCTATCAATCTCATCTATGTTATCAACTGTGGTGATGAGATTATTGTAACACTGGTAAGAAAAATTCAAACTATACAAAACACAGAATTAAAGAAGCATTTAACAAAATAAAAACAAAATGTCACCTAAAATCATACCTGTTTCAGATCAGAATTTTCATTTTTTTCTTTCTCTGCATTTTCAATATTCACAATTTGTTGTTGAAGTTTTATCCTAAAAACCATAATTCAACAAAATATATTATAAATCCATCATTCACTTTTCACAGAATTATTCAATCATTCTACTGGCTGGTTGGACACTAGGCACTGTGCTACGCAAACTGGCACATCCGATCATGAAGCCTGGAGGCTGTGTGGGCATAACACTGTGATGAAACACAAGTGACCTCTGTTGCAGCAGGAAACTGTGAGCACTAAAATGACAAGGCAGTGTATATGCCAGGAGGACAGGGGACAAAACTGATGAGTAAGATTCTAACGAACATGGGTCAGCAAAAACAACTGCCCATCAAAAAGCGCAGACACGTGTTCCTCAGGCTTCAGAAGGCCATTCAGTTTAGGAGAAGGCACCTCAGCCCAACAAGGGAAACACTCTACCGCCTTCAAGATGCTACCAGCTATACTGCTATTTCATTTCACTCTTTAAAGGTTACAGACTGCAGGGAAATTATCTCTTGCAGGACACCATACTACATCCTAAAAAATATCTTACAAGCTTTTAATCCCTGAGATTAAAATTTGAAGAGGACACAATCTACACTTTCTTCTAAAGAAATGATACATCTTTAGCTACAGCCCTAAAATGCAAAGTAGATCCCTCTGGGAGGCTGAGGCAGGAAGACTGCAAGTTCCAGTTCAGCCTGGGCAACTTCATGACTCATCAGATAGAGAAGACTTGGTATTAATTAGGTTTGACAGAATAATCCCTCAACCTCCTTTTGAAAATCCTTTAAAACACTTAAATATAATTCACTTAGCACTTATTATTTTTATTAGTATGTTCTATATACCCAATTAGGATGTGTCTATAGCTATGTTATAGGAACAAGATTTCAATAAATATCTGTTAATGAACTAAATGAACATAAACCCTGGATCAGACACTAAATGTTAAGTGTAACAGGTAATATAACTTGGAAGAAATACAATGATTCATTGCTTGAGATGATTACAGATAAACACCATCAGCAATAATGCTGAAGGAAGAGGGTGTGTCCTGCTCTTCCTTTTGTCCGTGTCAGTAAGTCTAAGTTTTACTTCGTATTTCTACTATTTTATTAGTACTCTCTCAAACTTTTTGTGTAATTCCTCTATTAACTTGGTGCTTTAAGGTTACTGAACTAATAAAGGCTTATTTCTACAAAATCATAACAATGTATACAGAAGAGAGACTACTGTGGGTCTAGCCTGGAGTCAGAAAACACAGGCTCTAAGAACATCCCAGCTCTGATAAAGAATGTAGAGCTACGGTACTTGGACGATCAAAAAGAAACAAGACTAGTAAGAAAGCATTCACGGCCAGACTGCCTCAGTAAAGTCTTCAGTAAAGGTCCAGTGGTGTCCTGCATACAAAGCTAAAGCCCCAGAAATGAATGAATGGTAAAGAGCGCCTGAATGTCAGCAAAGCGCAAGAAAGAAGTGAGAACACTGTCGCGGTAGGTGCAGGAGACGCACTACAGCACAGGCTCTTCAGTTCACTTTGCTGATATGTTACTGCATTAGAATCTAAAACTGGGGGCTGGAGAGATGGCTCAGTGGTCTAAAGCACCTACTTGGAACAAGCTTAGCAAAGCACAGGGACCGCAGTTCGATCCCCCAGCACCACATGCCAGTCAGCCCTGCCCCCTGGTGGGCTGAGCTGGCCACACACACACACACACACACACACAATAAATAAATGTAAAAAATAAATAAATTTTTAAAAAAAGAATCTAAAACTGGTAGGGATTTTTAAAAAGAGAAAATTAGTTCATGATTTAAGATATTACATAAATGGGCTGGAGAAATGGCTCAGTGGTCTAAAGCACCTACTTGAAACAAGCTTGGCAAAGCACAGGGACCTCGGTTCGATCCTCCAGCACCACATGCCAGCCAGCCCCGCCCCCTGGTGGGCTGAGCTGGCCACACACACAATAAATAAATGTAATAAATAAAAATA